TGGGTGGGGGACAGTCATGATGCCCCTGCTGGTGCCCACAGGCAGGGCAGACGGAGCGGTACCGGCAGGTGAAGCGGATGATGTACGAGCTGATGGAGCGGCGCTCGCAGCTGCTCTCGGGGACGCTGCCCAAGGACGAGCTCCTGCAGCTCAAGAAAGAGGTGACCGGCAAGATCGACTACGGCAACAAGTGAGAGCGGAGATGGAGCGTGGGTGGGCCCGGGCACCTGCCCCTGCCCTGGGCACAGGCTCTGCGGTGCCGAGGGATGCTCAGCCTCTCTACTGCAGTGTCCCTGCTGGCCTGGCTGGTTGTCCCTGTGTGCCCATCATCCTGTCTGGGTGTCCCTGGGGCATGCTGTGTCCCCGCTGTCCTGGCTGGCTGTCCCGCAGTGACTGGGGGCAGTGAGTGTGCTGGTATGTGTGCAAGCCACCTAGCCAAGGACTATTGCTGATGAGCCCTGGCTGGGGCAGGAGAGCATCCCTGGTGTTGCCTGGCTCTTGTCCCCTTGCCAGGGCTCCACTGCTGGCTGGGACCTATCGGGATCTGTCCTGCCCCGACACCATGCCTGCAGCCCCAGACTCCGTGCCAGCCTGTGCAAGGGCAGGAGGGTCCCAGTGGGATGCACAAACCCGTGTCCCGCTAGCCCAGCCGGGCACCAGGTCCTGCCTCACTCCTCATCCTCCGCAGGATTCTTGCACTGGACCTGGTGGTGCGGGACAAGGACGAAAACATCCTGGACCCTGACAGGACCAGCATCATCAGCCTCTTCCAGGCACACAAGAAGGCTGCTCAGACCATCACACAGCGCATCCAGGAGGAGATGGTGAGAGCCAGCGTTGGCCCCAGTGCACTGACCCCTCTGTGCTGAGAGCCCGCTGCCCCAAGCATGGCTATGCCATGCCAGGGGCCATGCCGTGGGGCTGAGCCGCCTCGTACCCTGCAGAGCCCGCAGCAGAGCTGGCTGGGCTGCAGCACCCGCCTGGCGGCTTCACCCTCCCACAGCCTCTACCTCTGCGTGCGCAACTTCGTCTGCAACATTGGCGAGGAGGCACAGCTCTTCATGGCGCTGTACGACCCCAGCGAGCAGCGTATGATCAGGTGGGACTCCAGCAGCGCAGGACCAGTCTCTCTCCCCGACTCCAGCCACTGGCTCAGCTCGTCCTGCCGCTCCATGCAGCGTCCCCTGGTCTTGTCCCCCCTGTGCGGTGAAGTCTCTGCCTCTTTGTACCAGGTTGCCCAGCCCTGATCCCCGGGTTGCCTGTCCTGCCCAACGTGGCTGCCTGCCCAGCTTGGCACGAGCTGGTGTGTCTCACTGAGGGGAAAGAGGCATGTCCCTTCCAGCAAGGTTGTCCCCTCCGGAGCTGGAGGGTTTGTCAACGGCGTGCAGCCACATCCCGTGGGACAGCCCATGGCTCTCACCCTGCCCGGGGCTGTGCATGCCTGACGCGTTGTGGCCTGTTGCAGGTGTGCTGTGGTGTGTTGCTGTGTGCTGATCTGCCCGCGGCCCCACGGCAGGCATGAGCCAGCTCAGCCCACGCCGGACCCCGGGTACCACAGGCACAGCGGGTCCCCCTGCAAGGGACCAGGGAGCCGGTGTGCCCAGAATGTCTGCAAGCTGCCCACCTTCAGGCAGGGCTGGGCTGGCAGCCCTCCGCTGCTGGGGATGGCCAGGCTGGGCCAGTCTGTGTGCTGGGACTGGGGCCACTGGTCGGACGAGGGGTCTGTGTGGTGGGAGCTGGCAGGGGCTGGGCACACAAACGGCGGTCTGAGCAGCACCCTGCCCGTGGC